CGAGCTAGGAATAATAGCTCACCCTAAAATCTGGCGTGATGAAGACTGGCTAGAGTTGCGGTTGAGTTGAAGACGATGGTACGTTTGCTGCACTCCACAAATAACAAAGAAGAAAATTACAAGTAGGGGTCAGTACAAGGCACAAGTACTGAGTAGGTATCATCGGTCAACTCAAAATAGAAAGCAATATATATCGAATAATAACATAAAACCAACCAAATACTTAATAGGTGACAACAACAAGTACCATAACCATTGGCCACAACACCAAGCACATCTATGAGGACTCAAGCCTCCACACCATACTCATTTAGGAATTAGGTTCTTTAAACCTGAGTATATTAGCATAATTCAAGATTCATTCTTTTTACTATCCTGGTGTCGGAACGTGACACTCCGATCCCCTATTATCCTGGTGTCGGAACGTGACACTCCGATCCTCTACTATCCTGGTGTCGGAACGTGACACTCCGATCCTCTAATTCTCATTCTTTTAGTTCATCAAGCCTTCTTTTATACCAAGGCATCATCATTATCAAGGAGGTTTAAGATTCAACAGCCTCATCATGCTAATTTCATCACAATTATATAATCACATCATGCAACCACACAATTAAGCATATAGAAGACTCTACAATACTACCCAATACATATCAATCGCTATTTAGAGTTTACTACGAAATAGCATAAACCATAACCTACCTCCACCGAAGAATCGTGATCACGCAAGCTACTCCTCAAGGTCTTTGCTTTCCTCTTCGTTCTCTCTTCTCTCGCTCGCTCGTCCCTCTCTTCTGTTCTTTCTATTTTTCCTTATTCAAACTCTTTTTCTTTTACCCTAATTATCATATAATTAAGTATAAAATATAGTAAAAGTAACCCACTATTTATTTCAAGGTTATCTCTTTTAACCCCCAAGTAATTGAATTATTAACATTAAACCACTAACTTTATAATCATAAGCAGGAATAGTCCAAAACACCCCTTAAGACTTTTAACAAAAATCCGACCCAGCCAGGGTTACGCAGCCTGTGACGGTCCGTCATGCCTGCGACGGTCCGTCCTGCTGAGTCGTCACAGAGTTCAGAGACTCAAATTCATTTAAAAGTTCTGTGACGGCCCGTCATGCCTGCGACGGTCCGTCCTGCCATTCCGTTGCGAAGTTCAGAGAGTTTATCTTAGTACCCAATTTTCAAGAGTCTAAGTGTTTAGGAACGAGACCCCCTCGACGGCCCGTCGTGCCCATGACGGTCCGTCGTGGGATCCATCGATTTAGCCAGTTACTACCAGAAATAAACTCTATGGATCAAAACGACTAAACAGGTCGTTACAAATACAATAAAATAGAAAATAAAAAAAGAGAGAAATTAAGAAGCAGACAAATGTTGAAAGCATGAAAAAATAAATAATTAATTAATTAAAATGTGTAAAAACTTCACATGTTTATAAAATAGTGCAATTTGAAATATGTTAATATAAATCAAAGAATGAGGGTAAATATAGTTGTCTTAATAATATAATGTTCAAAAATTAGTTTAAGTCATAGAAGTCCATAAAGTGACCGTGCTAGAACCACGGGACTCGAGGGATGCCTAACACCTTTCCCCCGGTCAATAGAATTCCTTACCCGAATTGGTTCACAGATCAAACAAAGAGTCATTTCCTTTTGATTAGGGATTAAATAAAAGGTGACTTGGAACACCGTAACTCAATTCCAAGTGGCGACTCTTAAAAGGCTAAAATAATCCCCTAATTAATTACGTCACTTAAATTGGAAAAACCCTTACGCCGCTGCGCCGAAAAGGGGTGTGACAAACATGTTAGGCCATGATTTAATAGAACATTATCCTACTTAGCAGTTAGAAGTGGAAACCCACACGGTCCGGTGGGTTTGGTCGTGACAAATTGGTATCACAACCTAGGTTATCGGTCTCTCTGTACAACAATAAGTATGGACTAGGCTCATGTGGATTGGTGTGTTGACGTCCACATCTAATCTTCAAGAGGCTAAGAAGCATTATAGGAATGATTCCACTCCTTCTCTCCTTTTGAGAGAAGTGTCGTTTGTGGTGTGACCCGTGTCCAATTGGTATATGCTAATTCCATTTGCTATCTCAACCAAGTAAGTCGGATGTCGTGATTATGACTGAAGGGATACAAGTAAAGTTAATTGGAACTGGGAAGGTTTCAAATGGTATATGGCCTTAAAGGTCGTACAATGCATAAATGACCATTAGTGGTCATCTATGCGACGAGCTAACTAATAAATTTACACTTCATGAACATTGAATTAGAAATGTGTTCCTTGTTGCCTGAAATAATTTGAAATGTGTGCTACGTTGTTTGAATTTAACTATATTTGTTCATTGCTTGTATATGTATTAGTATTATTTGATGGCCTAAATTACTGACGATGTGAAGAAATGTAGTTGATGTGGGTAATCGGATAAGAACACCGTGTGGAGTGTCTGAAGTTGATACGAGTAGAACTCTGGCTGAATCGTGAAAATTATGCAAGTTGTAACGTCTGGGTATATCCTGGGGATGTGTAGAATGTGGTGTCGAGTTGATTTTTAGCATTAGGAACTGAACCTCACGTATCCTAGTTGGATAAATTTAGAAGCCTGATGGGATGGTGAAAATGGAGACCTGGAAAATCGTTGGAAGTGAAAAAGTATCTAGAAAATTTTTGCTAGGTTCTGGTCTCGTTCGAGCCGCTTCAGCGGGATTTCTCCTGTTGGCGCGGTCCTGCTATAGCAAAATTTTTTCCGCTAGAGCGCTGCCGCTACAACGTTGATTTATCCCGCTAGAGAGGCACGAAAAGAGGCAGAATCCTCGCCTATTTTTTCCCGTAACTCCCTTCTTTAAAAATACAACCTCAGAAGGGATCCGAACCAATCCCTTCAACTCCCAAACTTGTATTCAACAATAGTATTAGTGAAATTTGATTAAGATAAAACTGGATGCCTCAGACAGCCAAAAACAAGCATCCACGTGGCACAAAACTTAGAAATACTGAAAGTCAGATAAAAACTTAGTTGTATTAAATTACAAGCCCAATAGGGGTGAAATGAAAGCAAGTCAGGGACTCTAAGACTAGGTGGTTCAACGTCAGAGTCCATGTCCTCGGGATGTTCCAAGATGGACCAAGCCTCTTTCTGTGTTGGTAACTATGAAAGAACCTTCGGGTCAAGGTGGGGGAATCTCCTTGTCTGGGGCAACACAAGTGAAGATGCCTTAATGGTCTTCCACATACGGGTCATCAGGCGATCCCTCTCCACACCCTTTCTCGTCTCTTGGCGCAACTGAAGGCGAAGTAACTCTACATCGAGGGCAGTACTGGGAGGGACCAGAGTGAAGTCAGCATATGCACTCCTCTTTTATTTCGTACAAACCCTTGCACCTGAGAGGGGGTCCTCACTATCTTAACCGACAACCGCCTTGGTGCCGCTAGCCTTGTCAGTCTTCTTATGTTTGTTCCTAGAAGTAGAACCAGTAAAACAAAAAAGGGTTGAATAGGGGGGATGCATATGTAATACCTCGTCAGCGTCGAGCAACGACACTACTACCCATTTGCATAGGGAAATGATAAGACCGGGAAGTGAGAAGTCCTTCTTGTTGTCCAAGTAGAACATCTTCTACTCGTAGATAATGTGCGCCCCACATTAAGATGAATGTCCTGTATAGCGCATGCCACAACCAGGTCCCGAGGAAAGGTAACGTTTGTGTGATTTATCGATGGACAAATCCTTCTAGATACAAGGTGCAACCACCTTTTAGAATCTGACGACCAGTCAGCACTAGTGATGCCCTCTGCAGTAGCGTAGTAAACCTGCTCCCGTTTTGCTGATCCATTATAGCTTCCTGCAACCACTCCAAATCCATCTACCTAAGTTTGGCCTTGTATTCTAGGTTTGGGACCTCTTGCACCTCCAGTACCTCATTAATAGTAGTAACATTTAAAGGGATGTCAACTCCTTGAATGTGAATGACCGAGTAAGGATTCTCTAGCATATGGTGGGGAAGATGACATAAAACTCCCTCACCCAAGTGGAAAAAACATTTGGGGAGCCTCATTCAGCGGGAGACACCTAAACTTGATCAAACAAGTGTAAAAGGCAGGATCCTTCTCCTCCACCTTCCGTAAAACAAATGCCCTCTCACAGCAGAGCCCTGTGGCATGATAATCGTAGTGCCTTTCTCGACTAGCAACATTTGGGAACCGAGAAAAAGGTAAGTTTTCATCGTTATGAACAACCATTTAGAGAACCTGAAAGAAGTAATATAAGTTAGAATAACATAGACTGGACAGGAATATTAGACAAAAAAGAGGGGAAAATGGGGTATGGGAGTTAGGCCACTAGTCTAGGTCATCCCGCTACAACAACTAGAATTCGACTGCAGTAGGATGATGCAGGCCGCTACAGTGGGATGCAAACTTCTACAACAACCTTCATCTAGGACGAACACCAGACCCAAAAATGGCATCCTTCGTCCCAAGATCCCTGCTTTCGTCATGTTGACACTCAATTTTGGAACTCCACGGGTATAAATTAATCATCGAGCTTTTAAAATTTCAAATGATTTAAAACAATTAGGTTTTGTTGAAGTCCAAAATATTTTTTTCAAGATATTTGAAACTAATCATATCATTTTACATTTTTTGGAAAATATATAGGTTTTATATAATTTTCTATACGTAATTAATATATTTGATGAATATTCGAAAATCATCTTGAAAAAAAATATTGTTTTTGCTTAATAATTTTACTAATTAGTTTAGTTATATATTGGTTTGTTAGTTTTAGTTAGCTAATTCATATTGAAATGATTATTTTATTTTGTTAAGATTAAAAAGCTCATTAAGTGATTTTACTTATTCATCTTATTTAATTATTGGTCGAATTCGCTAATTTAATCCATTCAACTTTTTTTTAAAATTATTTTGATTGGCTACAATAAAATCTTTGACCATCTTTTGTAATTGCAATTTTATCTGCATTTATCCAACTTCCACAGCTCATTTTCTTCCAATTTTACGACCAAAATTTGGAACCTTTTCCTAATTTTTTTCAGTAACCCAACCCAACTTATACCTTCACCAGGCCCACTCCTCTTAATTCCCATTCCCAGTAATTCCTCTCCTCTCAGCAACCAACCCGACCCAATTCCCTTTTATCCCCTTCAGTGAGCAACACGAAATTGCAACGTGCATCAGACATGTGAACTCCTCCACTCAACCAACGCGCCCCCGTCTTCTTCATGCGCGAGCCACTAAAAGCAGCAGCAAGCAATGCATAATGATCTCAACGGTATCATCGTCTCTGTCGCCATTAATTTGCGTGGCAAGGGCTTCCTGATTTCTCTAGCCTCGCAGAATCGTCCTTGGGTGTCGGAGATGTCTCCACGTCTCCCATAAGGACGATTGGATCGATCACAATCGTCCATTTCCCCTTTCCATTTTTGGAAAAGTTTCAGAGCTTCAGAAAAAGCTTGTCTTCCCAAAGTGGTGAAAGAAACATTTAAATTTCAAATTCGGACTCAAGTTCTATCCAAGATTCTCACCCTTCCCCCCCCCCCCCCCCCTTTTTTTCTTTGTCAAAATCCTAGCCCTTAGCTATATATGATCGCTTCGGTCCTTTTGGGGGAGGGAGATATTTCTTTAGCTGCCGTTAGAGAGAATTTCTACAGTAAGAATCACTAGTTATACAATTATTACAAATAAACACTTGTGGAATAGGTCTTAAAAATCACAGAGAGTAAGAGTTAATACTCCCGCTTGTTTCTTCACCCACGAGAGTTCATCGGAGTCGCGAATTGGTGGTGGAGGGATCGGCCTCATAGCTAGCTCGTTCGTCCGTTCGATTCGCTGCCCTCGTAAAAGGTAAGGTTCTCTTGACCTCCATTTGAATTTTTCTTTATATTATTTTTATTTATTTATTTATTTATATATTTTTGTTTAGTTGAGGTTTCATTTGAGAATTTGGAGCTTTCTGTTGGCTCTTCCTCTCTTTCTCGCGGGTGCATACATTATTTTTATTCCTTGTCCTAGTTCACCGCTGGTACCAAACTATCGCTCGATTTGATGTCTTAGTTTATGTTCTCTCATTAGTTGTTGAAGATGAAGTTGAGTCGCATTGCTGATGATTCATTTTACTTTTACTTTTGAGGAAGTTAGGTGAACATTTGACTTGCTTTGCTCGAAATAGTCTGATGGTTGGAAAATGCAAATCTAGTAGCTTATCTTTTTATCATTTCATCTTTTATTCAGGTTCGATATCGGAATTAAATCTTTGTGCGAGGAAGAATGCATTCTGTCGTCCGCTACTCATAGGCTCATGTTCCTTTTTTTGTGTCTTACAATAGCCTTACTGTGGGGAAAAGAAAAATGATTTTTCTTCATTCGTAGCATCGTCATGATATATACATATGTTCATTATCTTGTAGTGTTGCATATGCTTTTGTTTTGCTTAATCACTTTATTAAGATGTCTTGTATTTAGTAGTATTTCCGTTAGTTCATATCTTCCTTTAAGGCGCTATTATTTAAGAATGGACGAGTTGATAGTTGCCTTCGTTTTGTCCTCTATGCCCCGTATGTTACCTTACTCTTTATTAAAGGCTCATCTTTTAAAGGGGAAATTGGATTATGTTTGAAAACAACCATTATTGTTTTGATTTAAGTATGATTTAGCATATTTAGTTGCCTTTTGGGTGACCGGTGGAGGATTTCCCTTACTCCGTATATTTTATTCAGTTATATTGTTATGTACATCGCTGCGAATTTTGTTAAGATTATTCATAACTCACCTTTAAGTATGGATATTAACCCTCAATTTTTTTTGTATGGGGTTACTTGCCTTTAGTTTATGAAGCTCTTCCTTTGCATTCCATCAACTCCTTTCATCGAGTCGGCCATCATGGTAAATTAGGAATCAGGTGTACAGGTTGAAAATTGGCAAATCCGAACGAAAAAATAATTTTCAAGTTCTGGAAATGTGAAAACAAGCTGAAAATATGTCTTGTATACATCCGTATACAGTGATATACGCGACAAAACGACAATATACAGATTCAAACGGCGTAGAAACTCAGGAAAAATTACATGAAATAAGGATAAAAAAAATGTAGGCTTTAAAGGTTCAAAAGTGGGTCAGAAACGTCCTGTATAACAGCGTATTCTTAATGTGTATACACAGATTTCTTTGAAGGAAATAGGCCTAAAGGCCCTGAAAATTGCAGCAGCAGAATTTGGGCCTAGGGCCCAACTTTGATATTTCCTTCCTTTCTTATTTATTTATTATGATGTTGGACTAACATATTATTTGATTTTTGGTTTTAATTTAATTATATCCCTAAGATATCCATTTCTCTTTATAAATATTCCAAAAAAATACAAATATTTATTTTATAAATGTTTATTACTTCGATTATTTTAATATTGGTCTTGTTAACAGAGTATGAATTATTTTTTCCCCTATTTTATTTTCTCCTTAATATAATATAATAATTAAATTGAGCAAACGAAAAAAAAAATTCTTTTACTTTAGTTAAAAAATTTAAAAGTTGTTTGAAAGTCATTTTAGTCAAATTGTCGGTCAACCGCGAGTTAGCAGGCATTCCGAGGGCCTAACACCTTCTCTGAATGCACATTTGAACTTCGAACCCCTTTTGAACTGATTTTATCTGTTTAAATCTTTTGAAGACAATTCTAAGTTTTCTTGATTTTTACTAAAAAATAAAGTGGCGACTTTGTTAATTATGAAAGTTGATTTTTCTTAAATCAAAAAATTAATTATTTTTTCAAAACTTAGTCATTTTTTCATTTATATATATTTTCGATAAAATAGAAATGATGACTCTACTGGGGACTAATTAAGTTCTAACCAAAAGGATTTGACTAATTATAATTATTAAATTGCTTATTTGTGACTAATGTGTTTTAATTATATAATGGCATTACATTTCATGACATATTTTGTTATATATTGTATAGTATATTAAAGGACGGTTTGCGTAATCGCAATCGGACTTTTTTATACTCACCTTCTTTCAGATTTAGCGGCAATTTATTGGTTCGTTATGCGTCCAATGGTTGTCGCGAGTTCCAGCCCAAATTGTCCGTTTGGGTTCCCGGTCTTAAACGTCACTCTTAGTCAACTAGCGTAGAGCCGAGCCGAGCCAAAATCCCGAATTTAGAAGTATTTGAACTAAGACGAGCCAACACCCAATGCGTGTGGGGCCCATTAGAAGTCCACTTTTTATCTACTTGGCCCAAATTTCAAAAAATAGACAACCATGCTTATGTGATGATTGAAGGATGTATGTGTGTTTTAAAATGATTTGTTGTCTACGGGGGTGGGGGTTAACTAATCTTTGTCTGTGATTTTTGCAGGATGAATTTAACACACGAGCCTTTGAAAACAAGAATGGTTACCGTCCCTGATCCTTTGCTCAAAGTATGGTAGAGGTTCATGAACAACGACGACAAAATGATCGTCGAGAAACACATAGGTTACCTCCCATCTCTGCTAGAGATGAATGCTTGGTCTGGCCAAATTGGAACAATGGTGAAATTCTTGGACAACGAGCATATGATCTTTCGATTTGGGGAAGTAGAGTTAACGCCAACAATAGAAGAAGTCCTCACGAGTTACAAAAGCGTCTCCATGTGCAACAAAAGGAAACGACACCCAGAAACAGATCTCCTAAATCCTATAATATGGGATTTTACCAAAATTAGAGAAAAATTATCATTGGTTAAAACCTAGTGGATGGACAAGCTCCCCGACCCAAATATACCTTTCAGAAAACTATATTATCGGTTTGAACGTGCAAGGGCTTATGAGAAATATAAATATGAGTTCGTTTCAAAAGAAAAATGGAAAGAGACGTGTCCCCTCACATATCCAATATGTTTACTCAGAACGATAATTTTCCCTTAAGGTCCAAAATACACTATTCATCCTAGTGTATTTATGGCCACTCATGCCATCTTCTACGGAGTGGACTATAAATTTTCAACAAGTACTACACTTTAGCGCCTATGATTTAGGATGACATCTATAGGGCTTTAGACAAATGTCATAGTGGAGAACACTTCTTTCAAGGGTGTAGTCTGATATTACAGTGGTGGATGATGTGACATTTGACCAAGACTCATAATCCAAAAGAACCAGATCCCCTGAAGCGGTCAGACGACTTACATGGTCATGATTGGTGGTTGTACCACTATCATTGCAATAAGACTGGAGGAGAAAGTTTTTTGTATCCGAGGCTTCGAGGGCTGAGAGAAGAAGACATACAGTAGTCAATAGAGAGTTTGATGGTAAATAAGAATATGGTGGTTAGAAGAGAAAAAGTCCCTTACTTGGTATTTGCTGGGTTAAAGGGGACTAGACTATATGCATCCGGTCGAGTCCTAAGACAACTAGGAGGGAAACAAGAGTTTCCCCAGATCGCAGATGTGAGGAAATTTGCAACTGACCACGAGAATGGACGAGTTGCATTTGCTGAAGACATACGTAGGATGTGCAAATCTCGAAGAGTGTTGGGTTAACCTGTACCAAACAGGTTTCATCAAAAATGTTCTAGGGAGTACAAAGAATGGTTGAAAAAGAGTCTCGCTGGAACTATTGAGCCTGGCCCAAATGACCCTCACATTATTGCAGATGTTGGAGCCAAACATCAAGTCCGACATCAAGAGAAGTTTGATAGGAATGAATTAGATCATCAATGTCATCACTCTGAAGATGTCAAAGTCATAGTTCAATTGAAACAGGAGCTACGAAGAGACGGACAGTGCATGACAAAGTTAGATGATAACATGGAACAACAGATTCAATCGATAGAGGGGTTCAAACATCAATAAGAAGCTCGATTGGCGAGAGATCATATCTGGGCGAATACATATGCTATGTGGGAAGAGGTCAACATCGTCAAAAGGACCAGACTTGGCAATGGATCAGAGGAGGCTTGAATTTTATTTACTATCCCCTGCGTGGGACTGCTTTATTTGTACTTTGTTTGTAATTTATTTTCTGAATTATTTCTTGGTTTTATGTTTATCAGACATTTTGGATGCTATTAATGAAGTATTTTGGAGATAATAAATCGAGTTTAAAAAGCATATACATCCTTCAATTCGTTAGGCCTACCCTTGTCATAAAAGGGTCACAAGCATGTTTAGGACGTGATATGTGTGTTTAACTGCTTATGTGTTATGTTGATATGAATGAGGATATCGTAAACTCTCTATTTTCCAGAAATTTCCAAAAGATATATACAAACAAGTCCATGTTACAAAATGTCCGACCAAAATTTTTGAGTCTCAAGTTTCTCATTCAAAAGACACCTTTTATACCACAAATCCTAAAACATTCATTGTACCGTCTTAGGAAAGGCAAAAATCACTGCCATGGACAAAGGTAAGAACATCCAAGGAGGAAAGGCTCAGAGTCGACATAACCACTGCAATTTACAAAGCTGCAACCGTGACGCTGGATGAGGATCTGACATAACAGATGAAGAGAAAGAAATATGTTGAGATGGAGACAAAGGACTTACGAGAGAAGTTGGACATGCTTCGGTTAAAAGTGCATGAAAGAGAAGCAAGAGAGGCGAGGATAGAATCAGAGACTGCCGCTCTATTATCAAAAAGCACGTCCCTTGATGAAGATCTGACAGTTGAAATGGAAGAATTTACCTCCATGAGAGAAAGGATGGCCGCACAGAGGAAGAAGAACAAAGACTTCTCTAGCAACATGATTGATAAACTTCAGAAAATATGCAAAAAATACCCCATCTACGAGCAAGGAGCTAATAGTGGTCCTGATAACGAGGAAATCATTTACAAACCCCCATTCCTAGGCCATCTGAAAGGAGGATTCTAATGCTCCAACAAGAAGGGAAATGACTAACGTGTCGTCATCATTTTATCTTTTAAAATCTCTATTGTTGCCTTTCAACTTCCTTGTAATCGTAATGAATAAATGAAAATGTATTATCTTGTACTTGAACTACGTTGGTCCTGATTTCTCCTAGTGAGATACGTAGACAACCTTCCAAGGCCCGACCCCTATCTTCTAAAAATTTTATCCTCCCCTTCATATTACAAGAAGATACGAAGACGATATCAACGGACGTCAAATAGCATCTGCAAGAAGACTTTAGCTCAGCGAAATTAAGCCTTTCTGAGACAGTGTCAAACTAAAAGATAAACAAACTCCTGCTTGTTAAAAATTTGTTTTCAACTTTACTCTTGAGTTGAAGATATCATCAAACAAAGAAACTTGTGTTTTTATTTGCTCTCTGTGTGATATTATGTATTTTGCATTCTGAATCTAAACTGACAAATATGCATTTGAGTTGTTTTCCTTCTCAGGTACTTTGAAACTGATATGTGTCGATTGAAAGCTCGTAGATCATCCCTATTTCACCAGATCAAAAGGTCCTGCAGATTTCTTCTCTAAACGAGATTTAGCCAAAAGAAAGACAGTCATGGGAGATAGTAATGAAGAAGTAAGTCTTACTGATGTTGTGGTGGCTCAACCCACCGTACAGGACCATAAAAAGTTGGTTCTGTAGTTGATGCAACAGATTGCAGAGATGAGGGTAGAAATGCAAAGGAGACAGGATCTACCTCCGCCAGTTTTTGCCGCTAACGCTGTTGATGGGAGACCTCCAATCTACTTCCCTTCTTCAAATATGGATCCAGCTCAAAGCTAGCCATCTACACGTGCTCAGGATCCGTCGGTTATAGATCTAACTACCCAAAATCCCCAATATGCTTCCACATCCTACTAAACTCCACCTCCTTCTCAAAACAACCACTCCCATTGCCACCCCATCCTCAAAATACCCACCATCAAACTGTTACACCACCGCGAAATTAAAAAACAAAATAATTTAAATCCACAAACACCCCACCACTACTTAAATTAGAATAAAAATCCTCAGACGTACCCACAGAATTATCCAACCCCCCCCCCAAATGCTCAAGGTACCTATGTAGCTCCACCCTTACCAAAAAGAACCACTTTCCAAATTTCCGTCCCTACCGAGCACGATGTGCACGGTTCTAAGCTGGACCATTATGAGGAACAGGAAAGGGAGTGGAGGGCAAAGGAAGAGGCAAATGTCAACATAAAAGAAGAGATCAAGAAAGACATGAAAGATCTCCAATGCGTCCCAAATATCGCAAGGCTTAGTTATGAATACTTATGTATTCATCCATATTTAGACCTTCCATAAGGGTTCAAGATCCCAAAGTTTGACACTTCGGAGGAGTGGGCAACCCTATGGCTCATCTAATAGCCTACTGTGACCAGCTCGTGGGATTTGGAAGGGATGAAGCTTTATTGATGCGGATCTTCAGCCTAATCCTGTGCAGAGAAGGTCTTGAATGGTTCACCTCGCATGAAACCAGGCAATGGCCTAGCTGGAATGCATTGGCCAAAGATTTTATCGATCGATTTGCTTACAACATAGAAATTGTTTCATAAAAGCAAATATCCACCGAGAGTTATAGGGAGTTCGCCTATAGGTGGAGAAAAAAAGCGACAAGGGTGAGACTTCCTATGTCTGAGAAAGAAATCGTTGAAGTATTCGTGCGCGTGCAAGAGCCTGAATATTATGATAGAATTATGTTGCTCGTTGGAGCATAGTTTGCCGAGATAGTCAAGATTGGTGAGACTATCGAGGACGGTTTAAAATCAGGAAAGATAGCCCGTGTAGCCTCATTTCCCGGATCTTTAGGGTTGTTGAAAAACAAAAGATAAGAAATTGTTGTTGTTTCATATGGGTGAAAGAAAACCCCCAGAAGCTCGTCATATTCCCAAGGTCGTTCACGGTCTTCCCTACAATCCTCCAACTTACCAGAATGCTACCTCCACTTATCCAAATGTACAAGCTCCACTATACCAAAGTCCACCCCCGAATTACCAAAATCCATCTCCTATTTACCCAAATCATCCCCCACCCTACCAAATTTCATCTCCTTACTAGGGTGTTGCTCCCAACTGTGCTAATGTGCAATCGAGCTACCGAGCACCCCCTCATGTTTATCAAATCAAAGCTCCACTATACCAAAATTTCCCTCCGAATTACCAAGGTCCATCGCTAAACTACCAAACAAATCCATATCCTAGAATCTAAGCTCCATGTCCAAATACTAGAAGTTATCAACACGGGCCTCTTCCCCAACAAGTCATTTATGACCCTCCCCAACCCATATTCGAGAAGAACCTTCAAGAAACTTCACTGCGCACGCTGAAAACCAAACAAAACTATATGAGCGACCGGCCGCGGCCGGATTTATCCACCCAGTGGGGCCCAAACCGATGGATACCAATTCTAAGGTCTATAGGCCTGACCAAAGGTATGCTTATAATTCCAACAGTGCTGGACATGATATTGAAGACTGCATTAACCTTAAGCATAATATTCAAAATCTGATCGACCAAGAGGTGGTCTCAATTCAAACAGCCGTGCCTAATGCCAGCACCAATTTTTTTACCAAATCATGGAGGTGTCAATATCAACATGATAGAGACAGACGATGATTGATGCGGGACTAAGGTGATAAATCCAGTTGTGCATGACGATCTAGAAAATTCCTTGGCCTCATCAAGTGTCAAGGAGAAAAAAAGTGTGTGATCCTGACACCCGCAAAGGTTGTTGCCTTCATGCCACTAGAGAATCTTGTCAGGCCAAAATTTATTGTTGAGACTCCTACTGCACAAGGTATGACCCGATCCAGAAGATGTTATACTCCTGAGGTCTCAATGCTCTCAGAGGTTAAAAGAAGGATCAAGCTAAAAGGACAATAAGCGAGGGTGAGGCAGAGGAATCTGGAGAAGAATGCAACTGAAAGATTATTCTATTGTCAAGCATTTGGAGAAGACTCCAGACCAGATCTCCGTATGGGTCATGCTGATTAGTTCCCGATTGTATAGGTAGATTTTGATGAAGTCTCTTGATGATATGTATGTTCCCGTGGGCACAAGAAGCGATTATATGGCCGCTATGATCAACCAAGTTATCCGAGGGCATCAGATTAGTTTCTGCGACGATGAGTTGCCTTTGAAGGAAGGTCACATAACAAGGTGTTGGACATCACTGTAGTATGCCGTGAAAAGGTCGTAAATCACATTTTGGTGGATGAAGGATCTGTTCCGAATATTTGCCCGTTGTCGACGCTGAAGAAGCTAATATTTGACTTGGGAAAACTTGAGCAAAATAAAATCAACGTGAGAGCCTTTGACGGAGTATAGAGGGATACATTGAGAGCGCTGAATATGATTATCCAAGTGGTTCCAGCAGAATTTAGTGCACAGTTTCAAGTCTTGGATATTGATACCAGCTATAACCTTCTTCTGGGAAGGCCTTTCACCCATATAGATGGAGATGTCCCTTTTACTTTGCATAAGATGATGAAACTTGTTTGGAGAAACGAAGAGTTGGTTATTCATGGCGAAGGGAGTCTCTCAGGCAGACAGACATCGATAATTGATGAGATATTGCGAGGTACAGATTTCTACACAGTAGAGCTAGTAAATGCCACCAGTAAAGACTTGGCCCCATAGACTCCCATGTCTGCCATGTAGAAGATCATAGCCATTGTGATGTTACAGAATGGTTTTGAACCAGGTTTTGGATTGGGAAGAAATTTCCAAGGAATTATTGAGCCTATTTCGGTCCTCGTTAAGAGAGCCAGATATGGTTCGGGGTACATCCCCACAGATGATGACATGAAGACAACGAAGAAGAATGATCAAGCATTGTCTAAGACGATCCCACATCTGTATCAATCCATCCCAGTCCGGGAGTGTGCCGAGCATGAAGACCTTGGGGAAGGAATCTGTGACCTCTTCGAGGAGATCGATGTTGTTATTGAGGAAGTGGTTGAGCTAGCTGGTATCCGTGATGTTGAGCCACGAGAGATGTTGTAGAAATAGACCTCCACGCCTGTCCTGATCCCTTGAACTTCTTGGTATAAGGGCACGTATTATGCATATTTAAATCGGTGGTAGTCCGAAAGAGGCCCGGGACCCACCATGGTGCACCTGTCTTAACTGTTTGAATTTTTAATTTTCCATCATGATGTTTAAAAAGGCAACATGGACCTGT